CCTGGCCTGTCACCACAGCCCTTGTCAATAGTCCCTCCCCAGCCTTCTCGCAGCCCCTTCAGGCACTGGAAGCTGGAGCGGGCCGTTACTTGCCTTTCCATCACGCTCAGGTGTGGGAAACCATCCCGTTTAACCTTCCATCACGGATTCGTAAGTTTTCTCTGGCTGCTTTCAGGGAAAGCTGTAAATCCACCGGGGCCTCTCGGGGGTTGACCTGACGCGCTCAGGTGTGGGAAACCATCCCGTTTAACTTTGCATCATGGATTTGTAAGTTTTCGCTGGCTGCTTTCAGGGTAAATCCACCGGGGCCTCTTGGGGGGTTGACCTGATGGAAGGGCTGAGGAAGCAGGGAAAAATCCTGCCCAGGTAACATCCCCGCGCAGCAGCTGCTGCAGGGCAGAGGAGTTTGTAATTTTATGATCACTCTTCAATCACCAATCTTTGCCTTTTTCAAGTAAACCACCAAACAACGGGATAATTTGAGGAGTGGGGAAGCAGTTGTGTTTATTTGCCTTACTTCGTCCAGAGCGAAGCACGAACGCCCTGACTCAATTCTTTCTCTGCCTTCGCAGAGTACCTTTAATTCTCTTTTTTTTCTTTTTCTTAGGCTGCTTTCTCCAGTAACAATCTCTTCTCCTTGTCCTCCTCCTCAGCCAAGCTGCAGACTGAAGCCAAACTTGTGATGTATTTCATATTGCTCCCAAAAAGACGTTTTAATTTAGTCGCTGGCAGTCAGCGGCAAATCCACGTCGTGGCCTCGTACTGGTCATGTTTAATTATGAAGCAACCCCAGATCTTTCGGCAGCTGCAGCAAAGCACATAAATTTGGTTTCTACTGGCTGCATCCCTTCCTTTCTTGCCTCTAGCAAACTTACCTGAGGAGTGCACTGTGTGAAGAAAATCCATTTAAAGTTAAAATAAGCCAAATAACCTCTTTCCCCTTTGCCATGCCCAGCTGCTCTCTCAGCAGCTTTTGTACTGACCTCAGGAAAAGCATCTCCAACTTTTCCATTCCTATATCTTTGCAGCGGATATTTTTTTGACGGTGTTTCACCCTCCCTCACGAGGTGAAGACATAGCTGCTGTTATAAGCTGGAAAGGAGCGCATAGAAAAAAAAAAAAGCTCTGCGACCCTTTTTCTCCATCCTAAAGAAGGAGAAAGTGGCACGAGTCCAATTAAAAAGAAGAAAAACCAAATCTCTCTGGAAGGTCACTGCCAAGGGTCGGGTTTTATCGACTCGGCGGCGCAGCCGACTCGTGGTAAATCGTTGCTCCCTCAGTTTCGCTTCGCTTTTTCATCAGTCTCCGAAGCTCTGCGTCAGGAGCAGCTACAGAGTAATAGAGCATCTCAGCGGAGGCAGATGTCCCCTCCTGAGAGCATAAATCCCGAAGATCAATGATTTCAATCCTCCCAAACGCGGCGTTTGACTTGCAGCGGGCATCGTGCGTCTCAGCGTCTTCATCTCTCGGTGACAGTTATGTTAAATGCTTCCTTGCGTGAAGGGCTTTGCGTCGTCAAAGTTCCTTTATTCTTTGCAAGATTAATTTGGGTTTTGTTTGCTTTTTAATACCTTCCTTGCTCCAGGGGTGCAAGGCGATATGTTCTCAAGCGGCTGACACGTGCTTAAGGTAGTAGAAAAGGGAAATAAAAAGGATTTTTCCATCTGCAATCCAGGACCTGCTCTATAAATATCAATTTATGGAAGGAAAAGCCAATAAAAGATAAATGCTCGTGTTTTACTTGGTTAGCTCTGGGAAAGCTTGAAATGATTCAACTCTTCCTTTTGGCACAATCCAGCTTTACAGCCACCCAAATGGACAAGGACCTCTGGAGACACTGATGTTTGCACAGAAAAGGGTTTTCTTGCAGAAGGTTTTGCTTGCAGGAGACCCTCGTGGGGCTGATGAATTATTTCCTCCGTGGCCAGAGTTGGCTTCATCAGGACCGCGACGCAGCACGATGAGGTTAGTTGTGCCATCGCCCTGCGAGGGCTCCGCAGCGTCCTTTCGTCGCTTTTTTCTCTCCTTGATTCTTGCCCTTGCGCAAGCAAAACCCAAACGGAGCCGTGCGTGTCCGATTGCCCGGCAGGACGCGACTGGAGGAGCTGAGCCCCTTTTGAGGGCTCTGCAAAGGACCTCAAAATCCATCTTTCCACCCCGAATCGAGCCACGCACGCCTCTAAGGGAAAACATTTGTGGTTTTCCAGCCCTTTTTCTCATTATATAATAACGCAAAAGTGAGCAATCGAGCCCTTTCCTTCTTTGCCTCCAGAATTACTCCAGGTGTGCTTCCTTTGGCCAGGCCAGCGAGGATGTCGCAATTAGATCTCGGCCCCGGTGATCCTCCTTCCTAACGCAGACCTGTTTAATTTGGAAGAACAGGTGGAGCCACTACGAGACAGCAGAGCTGGGGTGAGGATGGAGACGAGCACCAGAGAGGCTCGTAATAAATCTAACGGCACCTCTGTGGGAGACAGAAACGCGCGGCTTACGTCGAGCGGAAGGCTCTGCGCCACGTCAGAGCGACGGAAATTGGAGCTACTTGGATATATTGGACTTCCTCGAGTGATGGAAGAGAAGGAATGACCATTAGTTGCGTTGAAGTCGCTCAAACTTCCATGTTAATCTAATTTTTGGTCTCGTGATGTTGGTAGGAAATTGGTAATGAAGACGGATGCTCTCTTGTTTGAAATGGTTTGAAAAAGGCTTCACTGGCCGCTGTCTGCTCCAAGGGGGAAGAGACCTTTTATGGAAGGTCCCTTCCAACTCAAACCATTCT